CAGAATCCTCTCCTACACCTTCTCTGACCCCCACATCCCCTTCCCCTGCTTCAGGTCCCCACCTAAATCCCTTTCACCCAGGTCACAACTCCCTAAAAGACCTTGCACCACCTCCTAGAGCCCCCTCCCCCAGGCCAAAATCCTCTCCTGCATCCATACCCCCTACTGGACCATGCACTCCAGCTCCTTCACCGAAACTACCTCTCTCAGACCTCTTACCCCGCACCCCAGGATCTTATCTCAAATTCCCTTCTGCACCCAAACTCCATCCTAGACTGCACACCCCCTCTACAGAAGTGCCCTTGACCACATGCCAAAATCTTGGCATGGCTCCCCCATTAAAAGTTATTGCCCACCCCGAATAAGATTGACTTTCTTTGAATCAAAATTGCATGTGATTCTGTCTAACTGAACCAGAAGCTGTGGGTTTGATGCAGAAGTTACTGAGTGAAATTCTGTGTTATCTAAGAGATCAGACTAGATGATCACTGTGACATTACACTTCTTATTCTTTATGAAAATATGTTTATGATATGAATATGGCATAAGGTATGCTTTATGCAAAGTAATTCATGTACGGTATCATTAGAAAGGTTATGATAGACTGAATTTGATTATCCTATTATATACATGCATTATTTTTGTATCTGAAATTAGGAATATTGATTGCGTATCTATATTTCAACTATGCTACTTCGGGTGACACCCACTGCTAACAGTTCAGGTACCACAATGGGAAAAGCCAGATAGGTCTGATGGCCCATCAGCGAGGATAATGGACTGTGAAAAGGCTTGGCTTTCTAGGAACCCGCCACGGATTCATGGATGCTGCAATACTATAGAACCAGGTGACCTAGACACCTGACACTAACTTGCATCTTAGACGCCTGAACTTTTCCACTGACTAGTGAGGAATTCAGACAAATGATTCCCGATTTCTATATTAGGGAGGGGGACAAATGAAGGCCTTCAGTTTGCTTGCCCTCCATCTCTCAACCCAAAGAGATATTTGAAAATACCTGGAAAAAAACAGGACTGGAAGGGAAGGGGGTACTGACCCAGGCTAGAAAGATACATGGCTTGTGAAGGAATCTACATAAAACAACATCTAGAGTGAGGAATTAGTATTTGTAACCAACTTCTTTAGAAAATTTAGCTCAGTTGGGTGCTTTGTATTATTTTCTTAATAATCAGCTTTGCTGCTTGCTACCTCTTCAACCACTTAAAATCCATACCTTCCTCCACATTGAGGGAGGAGATAGATTACGTATAATTTTGCATCTGTACTCCAATGGAAATGCGAACCTGGATGTTGAGACAAGTCTATTAAGCTGAGCCTTCCCAGAACTGATCTCAGTATCTGTATCACTCTGCATTCGTGTGTAACCCTATGCACTTATGTGCTGGAGGAGACTGAAGAGCCTGGGTCAGGAAGTCAGGGTAAAGAGTGCCCAGGCTGACAGAAAAGGCAAGCTAAGTGGTATCTCAGTTCATCAGGTGACATCCCAACGGTTTCAAATCATCACAATCACAATTACTTTCTTAGACTTAATATATGAATCTATGGGTAAAGACATTTGTTTAATATCCCTGATTTGTCTACTGGTTAAAACCCACGTTCCTCACTGTCTTGGTTCAGTGGTGGCAGGTGATGTGGATGAGAACAGGCTCATGAGTGAAGGCAGAGACAATGCAGAACAATTTAAACAAAAGAGGGTCTGCTCATTTTCCAGCCTAGGTAGTCTGTCTGTAGCATGGAAGATGATGGCAGGACACAAGAATTAAATAGAAGCCCAGGCACCATCTCCCTTATTTTCTTGACATAAAAGAATTAGAATACATTTTACCTGTCTGCGAAGGAGGGAACTGTGTTAAAGATGAAGTTCTTTCACGTTTTACAGGAGGACAGTAATTCCCATCCTCTCGGTCGTCAGATTCTGTAGAGATAAAGGTTGAAGAGAGATAAAACAGACAAAATTCTGATTAGGCAGCAGCTACTGATCTAAAATAATTAAAACACTTCCTTCCTTACCTTCTCCATCTTCTGGACTTGATCCATCTGCTGACCTCTGCAATCATAAGATAAATTAAGATTTTATATCACAGACTGATAGAAAAATCTCTCACTCTTTAGATAATCCTATATGCTTCAGTTGCTGGTTTGGAGACTTTCTGCTATTATAGGGTGGGTATTTAAACTGCAAAAACAGAGTAAATTATGTTCAAACATACTGGACATCAGATTTTCACACAACATGATGAAAACAAAAAAGGACAAATGCTTAGTAATTAAGATGGAGATGGATTTTTTGTGTGCATCTTTTGTAACTAATAGTATCTGAAAGTACATTCCCACGTTTCCCACCTAATATAAAATATGAGAATTTTGACTAAAGCAATTCTAATATTCCTATATTTTGAAATCCCACAACAGATGAATGTGCGTGTGTGCGTGACTAGTTCAGGAAGTTAAAATACGTTTTTGGTTTTTAAAACCCCCAAAATTCTAACTTCACAGTAAGTGTGTAAACTTCTAAGAGTTTATTCTAAATCTCTGTACTATATATTTGAGAAAGTATATACATATACTATATATTTGAGACAGTTTGTTTGATTGTCTGTTAAAAAATTCCTCCTAAATGGAAAGAGTTCAAATTCAGTATACAGCTTCCTCTTATCATAACTTAAAGCAATGTAAGGATTTGGTTGTGCCAGTAAAATGGGATTTGCTTGGAATGGGATTGCTTCAAATAAATCCATACAGTACGGATATTAAATATCAGTTAATTGAATAGTCGAGTAACGTCGTGAAATTTTATCAGTTAGTCAACTATTCTATAGTCCCCGGTGATAGGGCTGGCAGCCACTGTATCAGAGGCAGCAACGCGAGATGCCAGGTGGGAACTGCTCTGCAAGGGGAACCAGTTTACAAACCAACTCCCCTTGCGGACCGGCTGCCTTTCACCATGTGCTGCTGCTTTTGAGAAAGAGGCAGCAGTGCAGGGTGCCAACAGTCCCTGTCTAGGGCAGCTCTGAGCTCCTGGACACAGCACAAGCCAGAACTGAGTAGGGCTGCCTGCCCGCCCTCCTCTCAATACAGTTGAAATGCAGAGCTGAAATGAGGGTGGGTCCCGGACCCAGCATGAGCCAAAACTGAGCTGGGCGGGCTGCCTGCCTGCCTGCCTGCCTGCCCAGCTCCTAATACTCTTTAAATGCAGAGCCACAGTAGGGGTAGATACCAGATCCGTCACAAGCCAGGGAGAGGGAAATGCGTGCAGTCTATAGCATTAATCTATAGCTTTTGCTTATCGGTTAATCGATTATACTATTACATTCTTACCATGCAGCAGAGACACAATCAACAGGAAAGTGAAAGGAGCTGGCTAGGAGCATGCCCCTGCTCCCTCCCATCCAGGACTGCTCCAGGACTGCTCACCCTCTAGGCACCCTTTGAGGGAGGGGCTGAAGCTCTCCCTAACCCCAGATTCATATGGGGACATTGCTGGCTGCTCCTGTTTAACAGGGAGCAAGTGGAAAGTTCACAGTTTGCTGCATTCTCACTCTGGCTCGGGAGCAGACGAGCTGTGCACTTTGCTCTTGCTCCTTGTTTTTGAAAAATACCATCATTTAAATAAATCATGTATGTTCTCTTTTTATTTAAAAAAATTAATTAAGCTAAATATGCTGGTTCCTAAAATACAAATGAACAGATCACTCAATAGAAAGTAATTTATGTTTTAAGTGTTTTAGAAGATGTAGCATTACACTGTTATCATCACAGCAGATCAAAACTGATAATTGTATAAGAACCTAGGATTACTTCCAAAAGGCAAGTGTCCTTTACATTTAATTAAAAAAAAACCCACTTTTTTTTGAAAACTACGATATTGACAAATACTAGATATTATCTTTTTAATAGCTGTCTTTTTCAGGTATACTTTGAAAATTCTTTATTTTTTAAATATCAGGAAAGAATGCTAGCTGATTATTTCTGAATATACACAGTTCCATATTTAATGAGCCTTATGATATTTAATTTTATGAACCAAGGTATCACAAGATACATGATCAAAGCAATGATTACAAGCTGATATTATCAATCATGATTGAAAATAAGCTGTTTTCCCATTGAGGGAATAAAAGATGACTCTGCAATTCCATGAATGGCTTTTGGAGTAGGTAGGTGTAGAACCTATAAAGGAAGATGAAATTCTTGATTTAGCCACAAGTAGCACACTCAATCTGGCCCAAGAGATAACACACAGCTGAGGAAACTAGTTTAATGGAAATCAAAAGGAACAATCACGAGAGTGCAATGCATGACAACTGCATGGAATTTTTTTTTAAATCCCATAAACAGAAGCTCAAAGTATAGATATACTCCAATTTTAAAAACATAGTAAGAAGATAAAACAAAAAACAGAACTGTGTAGCACTTTAAAGACTAACAAGATGCTTTAATAGGTGATGAGCTTTTGTGGGCCAGATCCACTTCCTCAGATCAAATAGTGGAAGAAAATTGTCACAACCATATATGCCAAAGGATACAATTAAAAAAATGAACACATATGAAAAGGACAAATCAAATTTCAGAACAGAAGGAGGATGGGGGAGGGGAAGGGGAGGAGGTAAATGTCTGTGAGCTAATGATATTAGAGGTGATAATTGGGGAAGCTATCTTTGTAATGGGTAAGATAATTAGCGTCTTTATTCAAATTTGAGCATAAAGTGTCGAATTTAAGCATGAATGACTGCAGGTGGTTAAGTCATTGAGAGAGTGTCCTTTCTGGTTAAAATGACAAGAAACTGTTTTTTCTTTGTGATCTTGTCTGATATCTGTTTTGTGGGCATTGATCCTTTGGCAAAGTGTCTGAGACATTTGTCCAATGTACATAGCGGATGGACACTTTCGGCACATGACTGCATAAATTATATTTCTGGATGCTCAGGATTCTCTTCCACTATTTGATCTGAGGAAGTGGGACTGGCCCACGAAAGCTCGTCACCTATTAAACCATCTTGTTAGTCTTTAAAGTGCTACACAGTCCTGTTTTTTGTTTCAGCTGCACCAGACTAACACGTCTACATTTCTACCACTAGTAAGAAGATAATCACTAAACATTAGCGTTAGAGGGAGATAGAAACGAGATGACTTCTTTTAAAAATTGGGGGTCAGATCCTACTGAGAAAAATAAAAAGGAATCAACTCTAGCAAGTCAATTGAAAAAAATGTAATTAGATTGGTTTTCTTTTTTGCCTAACACCAATCTCAGCTGGGGCGGTGGGGGAGAGAGGGACATACTTCTTAAGTACACCAGAAGCAGGAAACCTACCAACAATCAGTGGGGCCATTCAAAGATCCAGGTGCTCAAGGAGCACTCAAAGTCAACAAGACTGTTGGGGAGAAGCTGAAAGAATTATTTACATCAGTCTTCACTACAAAGAAATGAGAAAGACTGGCTCTATTATGGAACTTTGTTTTTAGAAAACAAATCTGAACAACTATTCCAATTTGAGGTGTCAAAAGAGAAGATTTTGGAGAGAAAAAAAATCTGAAACAGTAAGTCAGCAAGACCAAGAGTTCTGAAAGAACTCAAATATGAAGTTGCAAAACTACTAACTGTGGTAAGTAATCTACTACTTAAATGAGCCTCTGTCCCAGATGCCGAGAGCAATGGTTTTCAAACTATGGGTCGCGACCCAGCACTGGGTCGTGGAATGTCAGGCACAGGGTCTCATTACTGCAGGGTGATCAGGTGAACAGGCTCCCTGCCTGTCCTGGCACCACAGACAGCACTGTGCCCCAGAAGCAGCCGGCAACAGCCATGGCTCCTAGGTGTGAGTGGGAGAGCACACAGTGCACTGCCCCTGCCCTGAGCACTAGCTCCACACTCCCACTGGCTGGGATCCTGCTGCTGGCTGTTTCTGGGGCACAGCATGGTCTGCAATGCCAGGAGAGGCAGGAAGCTGCCTTAGCACCCCTGTTACACTGCTGACCTGCAGCCACTCAAGGTAAGCTCTTCCTGCCACAGCCCTGACATCCCCAAAGCTGGAGCCCCCTCCTATACCTCAAAGCTCTCATCCTCAGCAAATTATGTTGGGTCATAGGCATCAACAATTTTCTTCAACAGGATCATGGAAAAGGGTGATCCAGTGGACACAGTGTGCCTTGTACTTCCAGAAAATCTTTGACGAGGTCCTTCACCAAAGGCACTTAAGTAATCTAAGCAGTCATGGGATAAGAGGGAAAGCGCTCTTGTAGGTCAGTAACTAATTAAACAATGGGAAAGAGCACAGGAATAAACTCATTTTTCATGATGGAGAGAGCTAATAGTGGAATCTCTGAGTACATGTACTGTGACTACTGCTCTTCCACATATCCATAAGTTTGCAAGATAATTACATCCAAATCTGATTGTAAAGTTACACAAAGGGTTCCACGTAACTGGCTGAATAGGCAACACAGTGGCTGATGAAATTTACTATTGATAAATGCAAAGTAACGCATGATGGAAAAACATGATTCCAACTATACATGCAGAATGATAGGCTCTAAATTGTTTCCCCACTCCAAAAATATCGTAGCGACATCATAGACAGGGTTCTACATAAGCTGTGCACTTGTGCAGCTGCTCAGGAAAAATTCACATGCTGTCCAGCTATTTAGCAAAGCACCCACAACTAAACTTTGTATTTCTATTGGTGGTGCACATTCATACATACCACAGTGAACATAAAATTATTCCCCACATGGATGGAAAAAAATCCAATAATTTCCTGAAAACATCTGTCCAATAAGCATCAGCAGTCATAAAAGCAAACAAACTCCTAGGTTAGGAACTATTAGCAAAGGATAAAGACTGAAAATATCACAATGACACTGTATAAATCCATAGTGAACCCACACTGTGAAGGGCCATACCATATGCTTTATGAAAATATGCTCATGAATAGGAATGATATAACTGGAATATGCTTTATGCAACATACCTTACGTAAGACATCACTGGAAAAGTCATCTACTGAATATGATTTTCTCATTTTTATAAATGTATCATCTTTGTAGATC